ATGAAATATATTTTTGAATTTTTTAAATTTCAAATATATTCTTAAATTGGTGGCTCTTAATAAGTACAAGATCACTGATCACAAAGATAGAAAATTGGTTGTTCCTAGGAGGTGTTAGACCACTGGCTGCACAGTTATGAGATTGTGGCTCCTAGTAGTGAACAAAATTACTGATCACATGTCAAGACATGATGGTTCTTAGTATGGGAGAGGCTACTGATCATATGTCAAGACATGATGATTCCGAGTAATGAAAGAGTCTATTGATCCAATGTTAAAGACATTGTGATTCCTAGCAGTAATGTGACTACTGATCACAGGTTAAGGCATTGTGATTCCTAGTAGTAGAAAGTCTACTGACCACATGTGAGAAATTAGTGATTCTTAGTGATAAGACTACTGGCCATGTTATGAAGTTCCGAATAGTAGACTATTGAACACTGGATTTGTGTTTCCTAATAGTAAGACTATTGGCTTCAGAATATAGGTTGGACCAAATATGTTTGGGGCCTAATTCAGTTGATGACATTTTGGGAATATATTTACTGTGATATGATTTTGAGAGTTTCATTGTGACACAAGGAATTGTTTAAAGACCTTGTATGAATTTTTGGAAAAAAGACAAAAGCCTTTGTATAAAATTCTACAAATGTGGGGTGTCTGAAATGTGGTATACCTAAACCCAGAGGGTTAAGATGAGCAAAAATCTATTGAATTTGTATTCAACGGTTATGCACAATATAGTAGTGCATATCGATTTCTTGTGTTTAAATCTGCTATTCTAGAGATACATAAGAATACTATCATGGAATCCAGAAATGCATCTTTCTTTGAAAATGTATTTCGTTGTTATATCCAAGAAGGGGTTCCGAGTTCCATCAAAGATGTTGAAGGTGACAATGATCACATAGATGATCAAGTAGATGATCAAATCGATGATCAAGATGAGGAAGTAGATGAGCCAGAAGGAGTAAAAGGGCTAGGACAGCAAAGTCCTTTGGTTCAGACTTCTTGACTTATATGTTAGAGGG